TGGGCCACCAACCACAGGGGTCGATATAGTCATCATAGGCGTAGCAAGTCCAAATCCCGATCGTACCGGCTCACGTCAATACCGATCTAACATTAATTGAGACCTTTGCAAAACCTATCCTGCTATATCGACCCAGTTACGCACCCGTCAACATGGTCCGTAACACCAAAGGAAAGCAACCAGCCTCCGGTGCCGCCGACGGCGCTAGCGACAGTCGGGCCCCTACGCCGAGCGTTGATGAGACCTCACCTGCCACTTTTACTGGTCGCAGGCGCGAGGAGTCGACATCCGACGAGGACCCCGCTGAAGGCAACCCGTCCGGCAGCGGACGAACTGGCACAGAGCAGGAAGAGGCTCGACCAACAGAAGCTCCCCAATCAACGGACTTCCGTCTTATGCAGCTGGAGAGCTCGACCCGACACCTCCAAACTGCAATCTACCAAGTAATCGAACACCTACGAACCCCCGTTGCGGACGTGCGTGCCAGCACAGCCGAGCCTGGACGAGTTTGCAATCGGCTTGACACCCCGCTCCATCGCGACATTAGGTCAACCCGTGCGACCAGCGCCTTCCCCGATCCGGACATGGCGCCCCGCCCACGCCTGGAGGACACTCTTGATTACGTCCCCAATTATTTGCCACCTGGCACCAAAGCTGGCACGTTGGCATTGCATCGGTTGAACCTGCCCACGTTTGCCGGCAAACCCAAGAAGCTAGAGGGCTTCATCTTGAAGTGCGAACGTCAGTTCAGCTTCACAAATGTGCCTCGAGGGCAGTGGGCGGCGTTGGCGATGAACCAATTGGAGGGACGTCCCGACGAGATGTTTACCAGTCAGTGGCGAGCGTACCACGTGCGCAAGGAAAGGCTGCTGCGGGGCAAACCAGCAGGACCGGCGTTCGAAACAGGACACCTGTTCTACTGGGGCGACTTCTGCTCACACCTTTGCACGATGTTTGCTGGCCGCAACACGCAGGTGGCGGCCATGGAAAAATTGAAGAGCATGCGTCTCACTGGGTTGTTTGACCAGTACGTGGCGGATTTCCAAACGAATGCCAATCTTTCTGGCATCGTCGACAAAAAAATGCTCCTCTTGTTTTTCACTGATGGTTTGCCCAGCGATCTGCTGTCGGAACTCGGATATGCGCGCGACTGGCCGTTGACCCAATACATTCGGGAAGCGACCCGTGCAGAACAGGCTCGGGCGGAAAGGCAGCGGCGCATGTGTCTGCAGCCTCGCCCCTCCGATAGTTTGTCGCGATCCCGAGCGATCCGTACGGCTCTGGTGGCCAGTCGTGCTCTGGTGCCGTATGCCGGTGCAAAAAGGGAAACCGCGCTAGTGCGCCGCAACGATGCGGGCCATCGACAAGCTGCAGGACCGGCCGAGCACGCGATCTCACGTGAGGAGTATCGCAGACGCAGAGATGAGAATCTCTGCTTGCAGTGTGGACAACCGGGACATCTACAACGTAGTTGTCCGCAACGCACCGCCGCGGCCGCCGCTCAACTCGCAACCGTCGAGTTCGAGGTAGAAGAGGAAGACGCAGCGGAGTCTTTCGACGTCGTCAATGCCGATCCGGCCAACAACGAGTTCGAGGAAGCTCCCAAAGAGC